AGGGGCGGGGCGCTGTCGGGGCGCCCGCTTCCCGTCGCTGCGCTTCCCTGCCCTGCAGGGCTCTTCCGCTGGGGACCAGCCATCGGGCGCTTTTTCAGCGCCTCGAAACACTCACAACGCCTGGACGTGTGAGCAGGACGAGTGTAAAAGGCACAAGGAGTCAGCTTGGCAGTAGGGGGTTAGTACGCGCGTTTGAAATGGTAGGAGAGACTTCATGAAATCAAGAGGGAGGGGACTGAAGAACTCCCTGCCCTGCAGGGCTCTTCCGCTGGGGACCAGCCATCGGGCGCTTTTTCAGCGCCTCGAAACACTCACAACGCCTGGACGTGTGAGCAGGACGAGTGTAAAAGGCACAAGGAGTCAGCTTGGCAGTAGGGGGTTAGTACGCGCGTTTGAAATGGTAGGAGAGACTTCATGAAATCAAGAGGGAGGGGACTGAAGAACAGGGGTGGGATTGAAAGTGTGTGATAGGGCCACTCCCTTTAAGCCGGGGGAGGGATGAATGAGTATGAAACCTCCCTTACAACTCTGCGGGGAACCTTAATTTAGGTCTGTGAGCCCTGCTGATGGGCTAACCAGCTGCCGGTGCCGGTGGAAGGCAAAGCGGTTTTGAGTGTGTCTAGAAGGAGGGGATACTAGCTGGAATGTCCTGGGAATGTCAAAGCAAAATGCAGGACAATGTAGCACTTTAAAGACTAACGAGATGGTTTATTAGATGATGAGCTTTCGTGGGCCAGACCCACTTCCTCAGATCAAATAGTGGAAGAAAGTAGTCACAACCATATATACCAAAGGATACAATTAAAAATTGTCAAGCATTTGTACCATCAAATGTTCGATGTGACTGCTGCTCTTCATAACCAGAGAGGGGAAGGAAAGGAAGAGCCCCATTTACGCTAACAAAATCCACAAGTCTCTGGTATTTGGGAGGTGCCTCTGCTACGTTTGAAATGAAAGCAGGAAAGTTAATTCCATTCCTTACAATGAAATATGGATGTGTAAGTGTCAGCTAAAATCTGACTCCACAGGGGAACTGTGAGATTTCACATCAAAGAACTAAAATCCCCGTGTTCAAACTTTGGGGGCTCAAAGAATTCTCCATACTACACAGTAGACCTGAATTATGAACACCTTGGGAATGGAGATCAATTGTAAATCTGAAAAAGATTTTTATGGTAGTTCTTCCAAAAGTTTGTAACTGAACATTAACTTAATGCAGAAGTTCTGTGTAAGTTTCTTACTGTGCAGAAGAAAAATGCTGCTTTTAACCATTTTAATTTAAATGCAACACAAACAATGTCCTTATGTTGTCAAGTCTTTTTAATACTTTCCCTTTATTTTCTTAATACTTTATGTTTAACATAGTGCTGCAAGGTATTTGATCTTGTTTTGGTCCTGATTGCTTATTTCTAGTTTCCAATAAAGTGTGTGGTTGACACTGCTACTCTGATGCTTGTCTGTCACTGTCAGTTCATAACATTGGTGTTTGTAATTTTTGTACCTTTATACACTCTTTTTGAAGGCTCTGTGCCCTGCACCATCACCGGTTCCCCACAAGGTCCTAGAACAGGCCCTGGTATGTTATGGGACCTGGTCTACATGGGGGACTCACCTGCAGACCTGGCAAGGTTTTTCCTTTCATCCCCTTGCTTTTGAACTGACAGTTGCTGTGTGACTATGGTAAGAAAGCATGGACCGGTCACAATGGGCCAGACAGAAGGTTAGGAATTCTCAGTGTGTTGCTGTTGGCTCATTTGCTAGAGAATATGTGATGTGTTGCAGTTCCTATTCCCCTTAAAGTACAGCATTTAAGAGACAGAAGTACAACTGTGGGGGCATATTTAAAATTAGTTTGGGACAATGTCCTGGAGAATAGACATCAGTAGACAGTCTTGTTCTAGCTCAGAGTAGATGGGATAAAAGAGTCATTTTTCATCTCTTAATCATCTGAGTTAGTTAGGCCCACTTTCTCATGTGCAGCAGCTCCTCTGGGTTCTGCCGTACAGATCATTGGGAGGTGGTGTATTGTTGAGCATAAGGAACATCTAGTCTCAGAAGAGAAGTGCATGAAATAGAATTCAGTTTATGTTTGAGAGATGCTAAACATGACTTCATGTCAGGAATGTGCTGATCCTGACTGCAGAGACCTGCAGCAACAGCAGTCAAACCAGCACAATGTCCACAGGGCCGGCCCGAGCCCTTTTGGCACCCTGGGCCCGGGCACGCGGTGCTGCCCCAGTGCACATGCGTGGGCCCGCCCATGGAGCGCAGGCCCCTCCCCCTAGGGTGCGCGGGCCCGCCTCCTGGGGCACTCGGTGCATGCGCGGGCCGGTCACGGCTGCTGGCGCGCAGCCCAGGGCCCGCCCCTGGGGCACACTGCGGGAGCCGGGCGCGCAGCACCTGATGGCAGCTGTAAGGGACGCCGTGCGCCCCTTACAGCTGCCATCAGGCGCCCCTCATCGGTTGGTGCCCTGGGCAGCTGCCCGGCTCGCCCATGCTTCCGTCTGGCCCTGAATGTCCATTCCAGACTAGCTGAGCTTCTGAGACAATTTTTCAGTGAAATGCCCAGGTCCTTGGGATCAGGCTGCCCAGCAGCTTGTCTTCAATCAGATGGTTGGAATCTTCTGACTTCTCCTAGACATGCTAGTCTGTCACTAAGTGGGGAACACTCAGGCAGAAGAGTCATGCAAGGTACAAACCTCCCTACTCCCTAAATCACCTCTGTCCTTCACCCCTTCCATCTGTGTCCTGGAAAGTTACTCAACATGTTAGCCAATCTGGCCCCCTAGTCCTTCCATAATGAAGATAGAAATCCTGCTCCCTAAATCACCTCTGTCCTTCATCCCTTCCATCTGTGTCCTGGAAAGTTATTCAACATGTTAGCCAATCTGGCCCCCTATCTTCAATCAGATGGTTGGAATCTTCTGACTTCTCCTAGACATGCTAGTCTGTCACTAAGTGGGGAACACTCAGGCAGAAGAGTCATGCAAGGTACAAACCTTCCTGCTCCCTAAATCACCTCTGTCCTTCATCCCTTCCATCTGTGTCCTGGAAAGTTATTCAACATGTTAGCCAATCTGGCCCCCTAGTCCTTCCATAATGAAGATAGAAAAGTGTAAAAGCTCTATAGGCATTGCAGCTCAAAACAGTTGGGATTACCATGCCTGACTTTCTTGGTTTATGGGACTTCATGGGGCATGATGAAGTGTTCTATTATGCAAATCAAAGTTCAGGCTTCTCAGCAACTTACTGTTGAAGCTAAGATTGGGTAATGGACATTGTAGGGTACTGGAAGGCCTTTGGCTGCAGTTGAGGGGTCAGGTGATTACTAGGTAGTACGGAGGAGAGTGCAAATCCAATCAGTGTTCTGTCCTTTCAGTGCCTCCAGCTTGCTCTGTTGCCAGCAACCTGCACTCTATCTGGCTAGAATCTGCCAGATGAGACTGTTTTTGGGAGACCGACTCCTGTAGAGTTTGACACTGAACCTTATCGTTGCCCCATCAATGCTTCTCCTGGGCCAGAAGCATGAGTTGACATTGTGGCACAAATTCCAGGAGCCTGAAGATTCTACCTCTTGGGCATGTGTAATTCTACAGCACTTGCTATGGAGGTGTAACATTAGAGAGCTTTGGACAGTGGTGTTCAGGTAGTGAAATATAGATGTGCATTTAAATGCTAATAGAAATACATCATTCAGCACCCAGACTTTCAGGGTCTGTCTCTGTTGGGAGGAATTTCCTCCTTCGTACTTGAAACATGCGGAGAAACATTGTACCAAAGAGGAATTGCCTCCTTAATACTTGAAACATGCGGAGAAACATTGTACCAACTCCATAAGTAGGCAGGAGGCACTCTCCTCTAGCATATTAGCAGAGGTGGGATGGTATCCTGTGAGGCCTGAGCATGTGCTCTTTTCAGTTGGTTAAGTAATGTGGAACCCATACCCCTCCACACTAGGAAACTGACTCTCATGGGTGGCTAAAGAAAGGGGCTTTGAATTCTTGTATGAAGGAAATGATCACCTTCCTGGCTTAAGTATGCTACTTGCTATGTGACTGATGTTCTTTATTTAATCCACCTCTTTATGAGCTCATCCCACACCCTTTGGAATAAATTGTTTCCAGCCCCAGGTAATCTGTAGACAGACAGACAGACATACAGAGAGTACTTTAGTCCTTGATATACAAGCTCTTCCTAGAATGTCAGGCCTCATTCATTGTGGCATCTCATGGGGAGCGTGGTCTGATGGACAACTTGCTAACCCAGAGCTAAATGAAGAAGTCAATCTGAGCCAGGCCCACGAATGTGCATTCAGAAGTGCTTTGAACAGCAGTTCCGGTGATCTGAACAAGCCTCTCAGAACTTGAACAGTCCTTCTGAGGTCTGAAAAGTATCCCTTTGGCAGGCTTTCAGTGCTGGGTAGCATCTAATAATTCGGATTCTTAAGTGATCCTACCTACCCTGTCTTTAATGTTAATGGGAGCAACATGGCAAAAGTTCTAGATCCACTTCAGGGAGTGCACACTGTAAGTGACCAAGTGAGTGAAAGGGAAGGGAAGCTTGGTGAAAGCAGGCTGAGGATGCTGTGAGGCTGGAAT